GGACACCCCACAAAGGAGAGATCAGTTCGACAAACAACACATCTATCGGGAACCTAATACTGGGGTACCCAATGAGGGAGAATTGATAAACACCATTGACACTTCCAATCGGATAGGAGCGCAACGACACCTCTCGCCCAAGACCAGGGGAGATCGATTCCACCTCGCCCGACCCCCGGGGGCCAGACTCCGCCTCGCCCGACCCCCGGGTGCCAGACTCCGCCTCGCCCGACCCTCGAGGACTAGACTCCGCCTCGCCCGACCCCCGGGGGCCAGACTCCGCCTCGCCCGACCCCCGGGGGCCGACTCCTTCTCGCCCGACCCCCAGGGGCCAGACTCCTTCTCGCCCGACCCCCGAGGGCCAGACTCCGCCTCGTCTGTCCCCCGAGGACCAGACTCCGCCCCACCCGACGTCTAGGAGCTAGCTCTGCCCCGCCCGATGTCCGGGGCGGGCTCCGCCCCGTCCAACGACCAAGGGCTGGCCTCACTCGTCTGGCCGACAAGGGCTAAAGATCGCCTCACTTGACGCCCTCACCCTGCCCCTCCATGATGACTGTAACATGGTAAGACGGGACGTTAGAGTCAAACCGCGGTAGCAAGGACCATGCCATGTGCCACTAACAAGTACCATCGAGGTACGATGGGACGGGCGCTTTAGGCCCTGCCAGACCTGACAGAGCCTAAACAGTGCTGTAGGCGCTGGGTTTTTTGGCCTACAGTATTGTGGGCGCCGCCTTCAACCCTTCAGCATGGAGCCTGACACAAACACCGCTATGAGACTCACGTCCTATAGTGAGAAGCGTACGGGCACTGCACCGTTCGCCCCCCCCCCACAGTGTCGCAGGCCGACGCCCCTATTCGACACGCTGCCCGTAGGGGCAGGATGGGACGTGACCACTTGCAGGGCATGACATCATCAACGCACGCATACCCGACGAACAGGCCCCCTCTGACACAGTCCGGCTGTGTTAGGGGGAGGGCCAGCCCAGAGGAAGAAGAAGACCCGGCATATAAGCCCCGCTCCCCTTGGTCTATAAAAGGAGGGGCAGGGCACCCCGCTAAAGAGAGAGATCAACAGACACAGAGAGCTCGATCGCTTCAGTACAACAGCATACCCACATACACAAGGCCAAGCGGACACTAAGCGCTTGGCATCCTTTCGACCCTTTCCATCAGAGACTTGGGACAAGTCCCTCTCTCGACCATTTGTACCCCCTACTATGAACCTTTTTCGGTGCTAATAACACGAGCAACAATAGACTGGACGTAGGGACATTCGGCCCAAACCAGTATAAACATTGTGTCCTTTAGCACACCATCCGGGCTTGACGTGCATCAATTATAAATTTACTCGCCGGTGTTTGTTCGAAACACCGATAGTTGGCGCGCTAGGTAGGGGCCTTTGCGCGTTCAAAACCAGGCCATGGATGGCAAACCACAACGTCAGCTGGGTCCTAGGTGCACACGTGCACTTCGAGAGCCTAGATTTCGCCATTATGGTGGGGGGAGAGTTGGTGCGGACGCACACAGCCATCCATTCTCTCCCCTCCATCGTCCTCGACCACAAGGGGCTTGGGCATCGGCTCGGCGTCTCCCTCAGACCCCAGCAGTCTAGGGAGAACTAGCGTCGCCTCGCCCTTCCCAACAACAACGACGTGGCACAACCTTCTAGAAAGGGCCCCCTCTCTCCGGAAGCACCACGTTCGGAGTGCGCCCGACAGCGATTCCGTTCGGTCTCCGCAACGCCGAGGCAACCGCTTGCCACCTCGTGGCACTACGCATGGTTCAAACTCCCGTGTACAGTGAGTTCGTGGGGGTAATTGAACACGACATGGAGTCCCTCCACAAACTCCTCACCGAGGAGCCAGAACTATCCTGTGGCTCTGACTCTAGCATGGGGAGCCATCACCCCTCCCGGGAATGCTTCATGGCGGACACCTCCGAGGGACACGTCAAAAGCGTCTCTGAGGGGGAGGCTACTCCGGTGGCCAACCTTGATGTCAGGAATGGAGGGAAGGTGGCGGCCCCATCACACGTAAGGACGGAGCAGCTAAGAGCATGAAAGCTAGAGATCGATGATGCTGGACAACAGCTCGTCCGGGAGTACCAGAGAATCGAGGAGATCAAGCGTCGTGGGGATGGTGGGCACGCACACGCCATGGCCCATGATGTATACCAGAGGATCCTCACCGACGATGGAGCCCTCCCTCACTTCGCCCGGGCAAGCCAGAACATCGCCGCCGTAACGGCCTTGCTTCACGGCCTTCTAGAGGCCGCGACGTCCGAAGATCGCCGGGCCCGCCTCGAGATCCACACGTTGCTCAAGCGTGCTGGTGGCGCAGCAGGAGGAAAGCTCATTGTCTTGGCGATGTGAGCTCGATGCCAGCCAGCGCACGCCCTCGGTGTGTCCCACCAAGGACGCGTCGATACACCAGACACTGCCAGGCGGCAGGCAGCGCACCCCTATTCCGGTGCACCAACGTCTCGGCCACAACCATGACGCATGCAGCACCATCGACGCCCGTAGATGCACCTACAATGACTCAAGAGAAGGAGCCAGACGCGGCTACCACCCTCACAAGGACGCGACGACATGGGCGAGGACCGAGTCCGAGGGCCGTCGGCCCCCAGCCCGGCCAAGACATCCTCAACGCCGCTTTCCCACCAAGGTACCGACCGCCTACTAACATCCTTAAATATT